TCACCTTCTTCTTGATGAAGGCCAACTGAACATCTAGTTTCCACCAAGAAGTTCGTTCGTGACCACAAGATGGAAGCGAGACGTAAATGATACAACAGCATTTAGTGGCAGCCCCGAGTAAGGCGCTTTCAGAGTCCTCATTTAGATTCTACATCAGAGGTCATCACTGGGATCAATTCAAACCGTCGTACGATGTTCTTTGTAAGTTTTATCCTCGCATTTGCAGAAGACAAGGTTACCCATTTGATTCTCTAGCTGCTTTTTCCTCCATGTCTTCAGGAATTACAGTAGGGCAGCATTTACAGTGGAGGGTGCCAACAACGGTGATTATCTGTAAACGGATATAAGCCTATCTTAAAGGAACACCCATTAAAGTGTCGTAAGTCAGATGATACTTTTATCAAATCGATCATCGATTTTTCTGCACTAGCATCTCTATTCCAGGTATACCGAAACACGCTTTGATGGCCCAAGGTGTTCATAAGAGACAGCCCGATGTTTGCACGAAACCGCAACAACTTCACTGGATTTCGAAGGCGGCAATTCGTACAGAACACCATCTACTCATATTCTTTCTCTGAATTGGATGCATGTACCTGTAACACGATCAAGGTTATAGAAGTTACTAAATATTAAAAGGACTTACTGCTTTATTACTAAGTCTTAGAATTATAACTGCAAGAGAACCAGAGAAGCGGTATGTCCCCTTCAAGTCAAGTGTCAATACAAAAGCAGCTCAGACATCGAGGAAGACGCGATCCAAAAAGAACACATCCTGATGATTAGAAATTACAGGTACAGTACCAAAATTAACAGGCTGAAAAGGAGGGAGAAGAAGGTATTAATCGTTCAGTACTGATTGACCAAACATCTTGTTGCGCTTGCAACTTAGAAATTACTAAACGCAGCATAGGCGAGAGCTCGCCTTTCGGCTTCAGAAAAAAATTGACAGTTGCAGACCATCTTAACTGCAAACGGTTAAATATAGAAAATTGAAAAACCTGAAGAGAATTGAGAGACGCGCTGAAATTTTTGGCAGTGGTGAATCATTCTATAGACTGTTTACACCTCATATAACTCAACCATATTTATATTACACTTCTGCACAATACTACACTAGCACTCCATCGTATGCATTTTTCAAGTCTTGAAAAAAACAATGTTGATGTAAGTCTCGCGTTATCTAAGCCTTGGTGTGACTTATCGAAATTAAAACAGAAATAAAACAAGAACACCTGTACAATTATAAAAATGGAGTTGTTACATCTTACAGACTTCTGCAATAGATACGTACATTTTGTATCAAGAGGAAATAGTTTCTGATAGGCAAAATCAGAAATAACTTACTCGTGTTGGATAACCTGTTCCAAGCTAATTCGATTATGAAAGTCGGCTGTGAGCATCTGCCGAATCAGATCAGTGCAGGCTATATAAATAAGCAAAATGGCAACCATTTAGGCAATATAAAAGAATGAGTACCGCTAGAAATGCCAGAAGGAAAAGGTACATGTCCTGAGAGCACCGCGTGCTTGAAGTGAAGAAACGAATTCGCAGGAAATGGAAAACCACCAAACACTAGAACGTATAACAGCACTCCAAGACTCTAAATCAATCACTCTACCAAGAGTTAAACAAAAGACTACATCAAACGCATACCCAAACATCGACCTTCAAACCATCATAATGTTTACCCTGAAACAATTCAGGAGCAGCATAAGGAGGAGTACCGCAAAAAGTCGATAACGGAGATCCACTGCAAAACGTGCTGAAACCGAAATCTGAAACAGTTAACGGTAAAGAAATAGCAAAATCACAAAATCAACAGAACATACGTACAGCTTCAAATAAAGATACAATAAATACTTTTTAAAATCAGACTAATATGGTAATGCCATGGATGACGTGATGCTGACAGGTCTTCTCACAGATGGTTGACAAAATGAAACACACGAACAGATTTTATTTAGAACTGTTTGGACGTTTCAAATGAATTTGCATCGCTCACCATCAGGGAACGGAACAAGTCCATATAACGACTTGCAAGTGCTTTGCACATCATTTACACATAATCTGTTCATTCCCTGAGGAAGACCGATGCCGGTTCGTTAAAAATACTGCAATAGATACACTTTTAATTGTTATGGTGTTACAGCAACAGTCATTAAATTAGAAAACCTGTCAGCAATTCAGTCAGGCTGGCTTCACATACTGCAATATAGAAGCATATTTCCATTCTTTGAAAAAAACAGGTGTTGCGTGAATGATTCATTGTCGTTTGTAAGGACACCCTAAAAGGTTATATTCGAAAGTTAGATATAAAAAATAAACATAAACTTACGCTCAGAGATTCGCGGCATTATGCGCAATTTCGGAATAGGTTCCTCCAATTTATGCTATAGCCTACGATATACGTGGCAATAACAGCTGTCAGTTCTATCCATTTTAAACGCCATCTGAATCTTTTTTTGCAATCTAGGAGCCGTTATCCTAAGATTAGTCAGTAGATGACAAATGTAAAAGATTCCACCGTTCTTTTCTATACTATTATATTGGTGATGATCTCTTCCCAAAACTTGGCAACTTTCGCATTCAGTAAACATTCTTTACCTAAGGAGGTTTGCTATCACGACGAAAAATGGGTCAACTCATTACTACTGCATCATCAAACGTCTGCTTAAGTTCATGAGAGGCACTGATTATTAAATATAGTATATAACGGTGTATTTCCACCAGATATGTGATCTAATTGTTTTCCCACACTCCGCGGAGAGAGCTGAAGTTACCTTTGTTAAAATAAGAGAATACGACAGTACCTTCATAACATTAGATCAATTACACGCATGAAAGACGGTACATAATTACTTGCCTTTTTGAGTAGCAGCTAATGAACTTTGCTCTATCATCCGTGATTCAAAGTAACAATTCTCAAAAACAATGTAAAATTCTTCACTTATAAACTCGTTTCGATGTCGTGCGCTAACGTCATTGCCAGAGTAATCGCAGTCAAATGAAACAGTACAATATTATAAAAAAAATTTGTATTTAGACAGTCATGAAAACATCTGAGTCACGGCCTCCTTTGTTCCTTACTTCCTTCAACAAGGAAATGAAAGTTTGTAACTTTTGGAATGACAGTCTTTCTTCACTTTCGAGAGTAGGCCATTATTCAAGAAGCTGATGGTGCAGTGCTGACCTCTGTTTCTATGTCATCGACCAGGAGTGTCGTAGTTTAAAGGCAGAATCAACAGCCATGTGGTAAGCATAGGGGGTAGTCTCCTGTTTCATTCGTATAGAATGGTAATCATTTATGAAACTCGAAAGGAAGGGGCGTGTGAATCAGTCCGGAGATTGAACTCGGGACTTCGAGAGTTCGTTCTGAATTCGACGCTTTACCGACTGAGCGATCCCGGTCTAAAGCACTGTGTGCTAAATTCTCACGGTAAATTCTTCTCTTTCAAACAAACTGATCAATCACATTCATAATTGTCATTCGAACTAAATAAATTCATATACCCGTTACACTATCGACTTTGTTAGCCAAAATCGGTGATGACGTTTAAATCAACGGTCTACTATTAGATAACGTCCATACCAAGAGAAATGGCATTCGTTTAACTAAGGAGGGATAGTCTCAGAAGGAAAGCGGGCGAATAGAGTCCAGATTGATGTTTCTATTTCTCAGAGATGTTAGATGCGCCACAACCGCCGTGTCCAATCATCATATATTTTACCGATGTGGACCATGTAAGAGTCATTGCCCTGGATCTTATAAAAACGTTAGTCTCTTCTTCTCTTCAGTTGATGAAGACTGCGGTAGTCAATCCAAATAAACCGCCCATTTGCGGGACATTCGAAAACTTTCATAGTCCATGCACACTTTGATGTTGCTACAGTTTGAGAATAAATGACATAACTTCAGTGAGGTAAGGTTTGTTGTTGATATTACTTTTACGATTCTTACTAGGTTTCAATTAACATCATTCAAAAATTTCCTCTATGCAGCTGTTTTTATGTAAGAAATTTTGTAG